TAGTAGTTAAATTCAAACATGTCTATGTTTTGGTTGCCATAACACTAAATAAAAAAGAAAATACTCTTTCCATGTTTATTGATTAACTAAAACTTTAGAGAATGTAATTTCATGCATAAAAAGATAAAATATAATAATATTTTGAACCGATAAAAATATAATCTCAGATAACGTTTATTAAGACATGAAAATTTTAACTGCTTAAAGCTAAATCATCTAATTCATTTATCAAAATTACAAAGATAAACATTGTCTATCCAGCATACTTTGACTGCTTATTATTATTGTTACAATATTGCACTTTAAAATTTTGATCTTGCAATTTGACCATTTCATGCAGGTACATTGTGATCCTACCATGATTTACTTAGATTCTCTAAATTTTGAGATCAACCACATATTTTTACTTTGGGTAAAATTTCATCTAAATTTTGAGATCAAACGTATGTTTTTACTTGATAACATTGGGTAAAATTTCATTCAAATTTTGAGATAAAATGTATATATTTACTTGATAACATCGGGTAAACTTTCATCATCTCTTACTTAATTAAGATATTCATTTTACATTAAGTCAAACTTGAGAGCAAGAACATTGATTGAGATTAACACTTAAGTCAACCCATATGGAATTTCTTGAGTATTTTATCTCTATATTTCTTTTGAAGGAGCACTTTAAAGTGTTTTACCTCATAACTATAGCATGCACCTTTCTGACACTCATAAGACTTTTATGGATTCCAATAATATTTTGCAAGTTTTTCGATTTTTTGCAACCAAATATTGGAATGAAATGGAATATTCTAGTTCTTATAAAGTGATTTTATTTGTAAACATGGCGTAAAAGGGAAGTGATTTTTATGTAAGTAAAAGAATACATTTGTTGGTAGAAAGGAGGGCTCCACAGCAATTCCAATAATCTTTTGGATTCCATTTTGCCCCTGCAGTCAAATATATTTATTCATTTCTTTGTACTTAATAGTCATCTTACCTCAAGCAAATGAGATGCTACTTGGTCTAGAGACAAAGTCTGTCCATTAATGGTAATATATGTCCAGGCTTCAGAATATCACTCAATCCTAAACCTATAAAAAATATTCTCAAAACCTATTCAGAATTGAAATAAAATTATAATCCATTTTGGTTTTCATTTCGGGTGGTCAAAAGTGCATGTAGCTAATCCAAATCCTAACCAGGTAACTCAAAGTGGGTCTTTAACCATAATTTTTTTTAAGAAATAGTAATGTACTTTCTATTTAAAGAACATTATTATAAAAAGATAGATATTTCAAACTATAACATTGTAACAAGAAAAAATAAAAATTAAGATGCTATCAAAAAGTCAAACATAGTAGCCTATCCAAATTTAACCATGTTCAGTATCTCAAACTGTTTAAAATTTACAATGTATCTTCATGCTCTTGTATAAAATATCACATATTTGATCTATTTTACAATGTATCTTAAAACTATACATAACACACCTAACTAATTTCATATGTGCAATCTACTATACATAATTGTTTTCAAATTATAAATATAATTAATAAATATGAACTATCACACATACATTTTTTACCTTAATTATGAAACTTCCTTTTATAGTCATGTCCAGAAACAAAAGATTAAAACATGATTCCAAATTATAAAAAATAAAAATTTGACACCCAGATACTTACATGCTAAATTCCAAACATGATTGTTATAAGGTAATACATTTATCTTTAAGCATAAATACACAATTACACAAAAAAGAAATTTTAAGCATTAAACCACAAGAGAACATAACTAATAGATAACATATACCTTTATTGCTCCATGAAAATTGGTTTGGCAGACAATTTGCCTGTCATATCATAATTAACCTAATCCTTGTTCTTTAAGTATACAAATTTCATTTAAAAGAATTTTGACACCAATGATAGGGACTGTCAAAATCCTAATAATAAAAGTTAGAAACGTACATACCTTAAAACTACCAAATACACATACCTTTTCATCATGTTCAACAACATATCCACTATAACCCTCACCAATTGATTAGGCAAGTGATATCTATCAAGCAGAAAAACGAAACTACAAAATTGATGTAAGCATACTTATAGAATTTCTTTTTTCCGATGATGTTCTTAGACCTGACACTACACACGAGACCAAAGATATTTCATTGAGAAAAAGTATTTTGATTTCCATCAAAAGATTTAAAGTTTCAGATATATATCTATCAAAACACCATTAATAAAATTTAGAAATGTGTTAATATAATGATAGAAGATGATAGAAGATGAAAATTAGTTATTAAAACGAAAAACGTGATCATACCTTACACATGGCTGGAGTTATATTCTGGAATGGGCTCAGTAAATAGCAATAAACAAAAAAAAAACGTAAAATCTACAAAATCGAAATCGACCTCTAATAAATCGTTTGTACCGTGGACGGAATGGAGGATCGATTCGGAGGTCATCACATAGTCGTTAATAACCCTCAGGAAAACTTGAACCATATCAATTCTATGGCGGATAAGAGAAGGAATGGGATACAAAGGTGTATTCGTAATCCATAAAAAGTTGCAACATGTAGGTTTCAAATTTTGGAGAAGATTTGGTTGTTGATTTCTTGAGATGTAGTCAGAAATCCATTTCAATATATCCCTAATTTTAAATCCATTTTCAATATATCCCTAATTTTATGCTGAGAACTTTAAAATCATAAACCAAATCACATAGAGGAACAGGAACATAATAAGGGGGCATGTTGTTGGCGATCTAATCGAACAAAATGAACAAAGTTTCCAAAATAAATGAGAGATTTAGGGAATAAACAGATGCGACGTCGGAATAAAGATATTTTGGGTTTTAAAAGTTGAGGGGTAAATTAGGTAGTTTATTTTGAAATTTCTTTATGTTGAGAAGATGCCACATAGGATTATAAGGATTGTTTTATTAGAATAGGAGATTTATTTATTTATACAAGAATAAAGGTTGATAAATTTCAGTCGCATCAGTATTTAACAAAACGAAATGAGAATGGGGATGGTAACATCTCTATTCAAGACCATAACATTCACATGGGCACGTGGATTGTTGGCTCCGTTCTATTCATGCATCACATTAGCCTCATGTTACACATGAAAACGATAGACTCGCCATTAATTTGTCTATTCACCTTTATAAATTGACACATCAAACATCTCACTCTGCAAAAGTGTTATATTCAACCAATGATGCTTTATAATTATATTTATTTTTCTAAACATTGTCACACATCATAATAAATGATATTATGAAAATTCACACACTTGCAAAAAGGTGCCGGCATTTACCTTTTATATGTTCGTTACTAAGATTTTAAAGTGGGTTTAAGAATATATATATATATATATATATATATATATATATATATATATATATATATATATATATATATATATATATATATATATATATAAAAGTTTAGGTTCATTTGAGACCATTCTAATTTTGTGAGACCGTGAGACCAAATCTAAAAATAATTTTAAAATGCAAAATAAATGGAAAAATCCAAAAATTATTTTTTTAAATATTATTTTCGGAACTTGAATTAACTAAAAAAAATAAAAAAAAATATAAAAAAAAATAAAAAAAAAATTCCGTTTTTTTTTTTTTAAATACGTGAAATATTCTAAATAGAATATTACACTAATATATTCTAAAAAATAATTTTAAAATGCAAAATAAATGGAAAAATCTAAAAATTCTTTTTTTAAATATTATTTTCGGAACTTGAATTAACTAAAAAAATAAAAAAAAATCTATTTTTTTTTTAAAAGTACGTGAAATATTCTAAATAGAATATTACACTGTACATATTCTAAAAATAATTTTAAAATGCAAAATAAATTGAAAAATCAAAAAATTCTTTTTTTAAATATTATTTTCGGAACATGAATTAACTAAAAACCTTTTTTTATATCATTATTATATACAAAAACCTTTTTTATATCATTATTAAAAATCAAAAAATTCTTTTTTTAAATATATATATATATATATATATATATATATATATATATATATATATATATATCATTATTATATACAAAAACCTTTTTTCTTAAGAAGGCTGCGTGCATTTCACTTACCCTTCTTCTTTAGCGCGTGAAAATGAGAGTAGTATTTTTCTGTGATGTTCAATCGCCTGTTTCACCATGATGCTTTTTCCAAAGCTTGGGGGGTGAGTCATTACTTTTGAAGACACTTGTTTCCATTTCCCCTTTGGTATAGAACACGCGTAAACACTCTTGTCTTCCCAAACGACTAGGATTCCCAATATACAACACGTATCCTCTATCACCGCATCCCCTCTTTTCTCTTTCTTTCCTCTTATGTTTCATCCTCGTTCTCATATCTCATCTCTCTCTCTCCAACATCCGGTGAAGAAGAAGGAGAAACAGAGAAACAACAATAAATTCAAAAGTTTAATTTCGTACCATCGTATTCAATATTTGCTTTCACTGGTTCCTATTCCACCGTCTGCCTCTTCTATCGACCATACCAATGTAAACCCTAGGCACCACCATCGGCTATGCCAGCAGGCATGCTCACCGTTTATCTTCCCTATGCCACCAGTATTTAACCACTCTTCCAAACTTAATCAGCAAAAAATTAGAACTTGTGCGTCTTGCTTCTTTGTTATCCCATTCTTTGATAGAATTGGAGCACAATGTAAGAATTCGAATGTTTGCACTTTGTAGCAGGTTAATGACTCGATCACATGAAATTTACAATATCTCTCAAATGTTTGCTTTAATCATCGCCCCGTGTCAATATCTTCTCCGCCTCAATCTGTTTCAATTTCTTTTCTTTTACTATGTCGGCTAAATTGTCGGCCACGACAACCCAAAGTAAGGTTTCTCTGTTATGTTGACTGCTTATAAATTCTATTTCTTTGATGTTAAATGTTATTCTACAAATCTTTACTTTGTTTGGCATTAATCTGATGTAATTTTGTATTTTGATATGCCGATTGTTGTGGGCAAGTCTTTAGCACAGGGCCATAACAATGATTCTTGTTTTCATGGTAATGATGTTGGATATCAAGGCGCTGGTGAGTGAGAAATTTAATTTACTGCAATTTAACTGCAGGCCAACTAAATCAAATCCGACCCTTCGTTCAGTCCATGACCATCGCCAAGTTTCTTCAAAACCTTTTCTCCATAGGTACGCTTCACGTATTTATCATTGTATCATTTTAATAGGTTAGCTTATCAATTTTGATATCTCTTTGTAGACGAACGGGCTTTTGGTTTATGTATTTCCCCCCAATTTTGCTCTTATTTTCCATACCATCGCTCCCCCAATTTCAATCCCTTTTCTTTCCAAAATATGAATCATCCTAAATAAGATTTGATACCAGTATGAGCTTTTCAGGTAATTTAAGATGGTCATGATGGACTAATGATAAGGTCTCCACAGTTATTCTTCGTTATCTTTTTGGGGCAATTTAGTTATTGTTTTTATTCTGTACCATTCTTTTCAATAATGCTGAACCATGTAGTTTTAACTTCATATTTAATTCTTAGTATTTCATTTTAAAATTCTCTCTCCTAATGATGAATTATACCTATGATGTGAAACCTTTGGTTGTTCTTTTGGATATACCACGGTTGCCAACCATATCTTACAACACTACATTGTTGCATATTCAATTTATCAATGTCATATATAGAAACATGGCATACCGAATGTGATTGTGAACTCTGGCTCCTTATAAGCCATGGTAGCAAGCCATTAATACCCTTTTTTCCCATGATTTCAGTTGATTCAGAGGATATATGGTCTCTACCACCTTGTTTTCACGAATATGTTTATACAACTAATCATAGAACCTTCCGACTATTAGCTATTTTTCCAAATATGTTTCAACTGTCACTTTTTTATTTAACCATAGAAATGATCTTTTGAATAGTTTTAGTAGTGGAATTTGATAAAGGTCAAATTCATGTTTGAGTGCATAGAGTCATTATGATAAGACTTCAAAGTAGCTTGAGAAAGTGGTTAATTGGAAGCTGAAAGCCTACCATAATAGGAAAGTTCATGCTCAATTACAAATGGATACAAATGGAAAAGAAGCAATACAGGTATGTCACTTCTCTTTGCTTTAATCTAATTAAATATTATTGCCCTTTTTCATTTTGATTTTGTGGTTTCTTGCAACATGTTTTTTTTTTCACAAAAAATCATATCATCCTATTCCAGCCAAAAAAGATGCGAGATATTTATTTATTTAACTATTCCTTGATATAAAAGATGACAAAACTACCATTGATCCTTCCTATAGTTCCAGATTCACTTTTTGAAGATGGACAACTCTGGTGACCATTCTTGTGATTTTAAATTGTCTATTTATATTTACATTTGGGATCGTAGCGATTAAACTGATAACAATTGAAAATGAACAAAATATAGACAAGCATATTGTAATACCATGATCATATATATTTTAAGGGTAAACACCATTGAATTTGGCGTTGATTAATATCTGAATATATTTGTCTTATTTCTCTTTGTGATATGGCATTATAGGTCAATAATACACATAGAGTTGAAGGAGAACAATGTACTCGCTGCAGCAGTAACCATTTTGTATTTTCCTACTTTGAGATGATTTTTAACGTTTATATGAACATTCTACTAAACGGTGAAGTAAATAACAGGAGTGTGAAGAGCTTGATCTTATTAATGCATTGTACTTTGAAAACGCTATATCATTATACTATCATTTTTCTTCTTAATGTACTTTTAAAAAGACCACAAAATTATAGCATTTTACTTTCAATTTCTCTTATTCTCAAAAAGAGAAGGTTCATAGATAAAGTTTGTGATGCTCCTATTTAATACAAATATGTTGCCCTAATCATAGAGTTGTTTTGATTTTAGTTTGCATGTACTATGATCACATCACGCCTTTAAATATATAATGTATGGATTTTACCTTTTTTTTTTTAAAAAAAATCAACAAAGAAAAGAATATGTGAATACTTGTCACATCATAAAATTGTAGTAGATGATGAAACCAATGTTGTTAACTTTAACCTTCATCCATCAAATAATGTTACATTTAGGAAGTGTTAACAACATTAGCAAGGCAATAATTACGCTTCTTGGGCCGTGCTAAGCACAGCCATTACCCATACCTAGTATATATATATATATATATATATATATATATATATATATATATATATATATATATATATATATATATATATATCTTTACTATCTTATAAAAGAAATCTAACTATTTCTATAAATAGATTGATTATAATAATAATATTTTTTAAGACGTCCAAATGATGAAACTGATAGTACAAGTAACCATTAATAAAATAATATTAAATTTTAACCAAATTTTGAATTCAAATATTTATCATCAAATCTCTTTATATTTCTCAGCAATTTGATATAGTTCCCTCAAATCCCGGATTCATTCAAATTTTGAACCCTTTTAGATATCCTTAAATTTAGCATGTTGATTCAAATATCCCTCCAATCGCATATACCTCTTTGTTCCCTCCTCTGCTATAAAGTCTACCGTCCAGGAACAAAAAATGACTTCATCTCCCAAATAACACCATAGTTTGATTATTTTGTCTTCGACATGTACTTTCTTTTGTAACATAACATTTTTATAGAGGAAACATATTATCGAAAGAATTTACACGCCCCGCCGCTTTGCGCGGGTACACTGCTAGTATATATATATATATATATATATATATATATATATATATATATATATATATATATATATATATATTCACTTGTTCGTTTTGGCTTACAAATTCATATAGATTCCTATATAAAAAAAGTTCGATGATTTTTTTTTTTTTTTTTTTTGCATAAGCAAAAGTAATTGGTTTTAAATCACCCCGTCGTCAACATCATCAAAGAGACACGTGTTTAAACTTGATAATATTGAAATGATGTCGTGACTGTGAATTCATAATATATGCTTGTGACACATATTTAAACTTGATAATATTGGCATGTTGGCAACTTGGCATGACTATGCATTCATAATATATGCATGCATACCTTTGTAAGTCCATATGGATATGACTATTGACCCATAGTTTTCAAGTGGTGATTTATAGTTCGCAAGTTTTCAGGTTCTCACAATAACTTTTATATATATATATATATATATATATATATATATATATATATATATATATATATATATATATTAGTTGTGAGACCCGTGTATTACACGGGTTAATTAAAAATAAAAATTTAATATCAATATTTAACCATTAAATATTTTATAAAATAATAATTTTACATATCATAATGTAACCTTTTGAAGCATTTATAAAAAAAATCAAATCTTCTTTAGAGCATTTATGAGATTTTATTATCAAATTAATAGAATGATTTTATTTCCTTATATGAAATTTTATTTAAAAAAATGGAAATTCTAAAAAAATGAGAAGTGGAAAATAATAATTATAAAACTCCCACAAAATTACATGTGGCAAAACTCTTGATAATTTGACAAATGGCAAAAAAAACATTCATTTATTAGATTACGTTACCTTATATATATATATATATATATATATATATATATATATATATATATATATATATATATATATACCATCTTATAAAGCATACATAATTGTGTCTTAAGTACAAATTTTAAAGCGTATGGTACAAAAAATTATGCATGTTATCTTAAAAAACAAGGAAATCAGTTCTGGACCTTTGGATCAAAAATGAACGATCGGGATTTAATTCTTGGTGATCCATGTGAAATTCTTTCAACCAATAAAAATAGAGAGTTTTAGTCTATCTATCTTTACCACTCACACAGATTGCCAACCGGGCATGGTTACAAATCGTTGATATCTTGCTACTATTTATTGGCTGATGTTTTTAACTAATAACAAGGAAAACACAATCTCACAACCATTATCGTATCAAAATTTGAATTTTCCAATACGTTTCCCATATTCCACAAACCCTAACCGAACTCAATTGTCATCTCCACTATAACCAATCGAGACCATCACCGCATCAACCATCATCCAAACATCAACCACCATCACTAATGTCCTAGGGTTCGACAGACAATCACCACAAAATGTTGACGATTGTGTCACCATCATAGCAGCACCGCCACTGCCATCGTTACCCACTACCACCTTCACCCATGCTCGCTTTTAAAACTGATGGAGACGAAGAAGCCTAAACAACAAAGCTTATTCTCTTACCCAGTGGCTGCAAAATCGGCTTACCCAGTTACAATCATCAAATGAACAAGAGCCATTAAACTGGTAAGCATCTTCCCTGAATCAATTATTTTACTTTTGATTTCTCATGGTTTTTTTTCTTAAGATTTCTCAGGTTCAAGCTTTTCTATTCTTGAAGATATGCTTTTTTAGCTTTCCCAGGTGTGAAGATTTATCTGGATCTTTCAATCGATGCGGTTGTAAGATTTGTCATTCCACCATGGTCTTTCTTGCTTTCTCCCTCTTTGTCTTTCGCTGAAAACCACCACCCTCTCTTTCTTTGTCTATCTCTTTTTGTATCTCTCTAAGGAAAAACGTAAATGTTTGTGTGTTTACAGGTCGTGGGATGGCAGGACGTTGAAATAAAATACCTAACAGATGAAACCATATGAAAATCCGTAGCTAGAGATCGTAAGTTGTCAATAATCTTGTATTTTCTTCAATGTTCATGACATGTATTTGAATATTTTTACTGATTTCTCTGTTTCTATGTATAAACAAGCCAATGGTTTAGGAAAAAAGTGTATTTTCTACATATCCTTGTAAGCATCCGGATATACTTTCCTTTATTTCTTATTTGGTGTCTATCTTAAAGGTTTGTATATATTAAATGTTGGTTGAACCATACTTTCACGAATCTGGGCTAGAAAGTAAAATTGTAATGGTGTGTTTCACTATGTGTCTTTTTATTGTGGGTTCGTGTCTACCTTTACAACTATGAAAGAAAACGATTTCTGAAAGAGTTTTGAAAGTTGATTAAATGAAAGAATAATAATTGTCTTTCTGCTTCATAGTTTAAACAACTGAATGCTACTTGCTAATCAATGATGTTAACTGTTGCCCTATATTTAGTTGTGGTTGAATTTGGATAAAGATGCATGAATTTACTGATCACGATTTTAGCCTAAAAGGCTGTTCAAACTGTTCCAGGGTTCTCTATCTATCTTTCTCTCTCCAGTTTAATCTTACCTACACAAATCTGGCCCGATCTATAAAATCTATTTCATCTTCTCTTTATGGTAATAATCAGTCATTGCTGCAAAATAAGTTAATCTTTTGTTATTTTACAGATTTATTGGTTTTACTATTTTTCTCTATAGAACAATTTAAGGTCTGGCTTTTGTTTCGTGGTCCACTATCTATAAGGATTTTACCTTTTCTATTTTTTGAATTTTGTGGCGATTTAGTTTGGTAACTTATAAATGACATTTACTAGGCTACAGGAACTTAGGGAGGGGGAGTCCTAAGTTCTAAAACACATTGCATTAACATTTCGGTGGAGTCTTGCTAGATATCATAAATTTGCAAAATTAGGTATAATTTGTTTCATTGTGGGGTTTGGGGTCATTAACATATGTTTTAGAGAGTGGGGTTGGAGTCGAGGGATGATGTTGTTCATAAATTTTTTTATATTTGCAGGACTTATGGTGCAGGGGTAAAATTGTCATTTGGCACATGTAAACTGTGTACTAGCAGCTAGGCATGAAGACCATGCATAGTGCTTGTCTTATGTACTCCTCCATGGTTGCAAGAAAGGATTGTGGAAGCAGAGTAGCATCGCGTGGAAAGGTGAGATTAGAAAGATCATTGTTTTGGGAACGTGGGTTTAATTTGTTCCTGCCAATAGGCAAAACTAACCTTTGAACATGAATGTGATAGTTTTGGTTTTGGAACATTGTTTATTTGGATAAAAGGTTTGAACATGAATGTGATAGTTTTAGTTTTTTTTGTATTCGGTCATCTTCTCTATAATTTATGTATTTTTCATGGTTATCTTGAATTTGAAGATATAAGCTGGTGATGTGACTCCATTTTTTAGATTTTTCAAATCTATTTTGGCTCCTTGGTTTTAAGCCCTTCAAAAGGATCTATTTGGTATTTTATATGGTAATGTTGTGTTTTTATACACATGGTTACTTAATTTTGTTTCTAAAGGTTCTTATTTGGCATGTTGTTTTAGTATTTTGTAGGATATAGTGTATTATCTCTGTAACCGAAATTCATGAAACAATTTGTATAAAACCGAGAACCTAGAAGAATGCAACCAAAAGCAGAAATCATCAGTAAGGCACTAACGTTGAAAAAGTGCAACAACTCTATGTTACGATGGTAAAACACCACACATTTTATCTTTTTATATTAGCACACCTGTATGAGTTAATAATAGATAGAAACTATGTGATCAAATACAAGATTTATGAGTAGATGTCTGAGTTTTAGGAGGAAAATGGGAAGAACAGAGGCTGGATGTCTAATTTTCACTATGTTAACTACACTATGTACTTTTAAGAATTAAAATAAAATTAACGACATAACAATAAGATAATATTTATATAATAATTTTATTTGTTTATAAACAATAATCAAACACTTAAACTTTTGTTTACTGTATTAAATTATCATCATGTTCTTCATGTAAACTATCAATATAATTTATTTTTGACAATATACACTTTATTTCAACTTATTTAAAGTTTTTGGATATTTAAGCAATACAAGATGATTTTTTTTTTGTTAAAACATAAGTGGTTGATAACGGTAATAAGCATTATTTCATGTAAATGTAATATTATTAACATTTGATAACTTATTATAAAAAAATAAAAATAATTATTATAGGACATTTGAATATTTAACTATACAAGTGCATGTTATTGCTACATAATTGAAAGAAAACTAATTGTCGAAAAGAAACTAATCTTTGTCTCCTCCAACATCTAGGGGTGGTCATGAATATGAATGTCCAATCAAAAATTCACGTGTACTTAGAACAAAAATTTTGTTGTCTAAAGTTCAGATGTATTTAGAATGAAAATTTTCTAATTCAATGTTAACCGAGTTATACGTTATATATATAGCATTCTATTCAAAGTTTTGTATAGTTAAACTAATTGAGTTCACATTTAGTTGGTTCTTAATATTAGAAATAATAAATTTCGGATATCCGAATCCGTATACAAAATTAAGATATCCGAAAATTTTGATTCGGATTCTTATACCTAAAATCCAATATCTGACTTTCGGATATCTGAAATTTTAGATATCCGGTTTTGAACAACATTATTCGGATTTACATACTTAGCTAGAGAGTATTCGCCGAAAGGAACTCTCTCTTACAGAAAAACAATACACACTGTCTTACATACTAGAAAAAGAAACTAATCGCCGCATGTAAGATACCTTCCGAAAAAATTATATGCGTCGCCGCATCGCGCGGGTACCCTACTAGTATATATATATATATATATATATATATATATATATATATATATATATATATATATATATATATATAATTTGCTTACAACACAAAGATCATTATATTATATATCTTAAATTTAAATGACCTTAGAAATAGTAACTTTTGTGGCTTTAGGTTTTTGCCACAAATTTTTGGTGAATTTGACACTTTTCATCCTTGAAGTTAAAACTTTTACATTTTTATGTTTTGATTAAGTTTTTATGCTTTTAGGTTTTTGCCACAAATCTTTAACAATTTTGACAGTTTTTCTCCTTACAATAAAAACTTTTAAATTTTGGGGTTTTTGCCACAAGTTTTTAGTGACTTTGATACTTTTCGTCATTGCAATCAAAACTTTTACATTTTAACATAAAAAACATAAAAAACCTCGTTTAGACTTTTGCCACCATATTGTCCCAACTTTGGTAACTTTCATACTATTACCACAATATTTTTGGATATTCTCTACCAGTGTCCATTCTTTAGGCTGTTGTACACTTTTGACATCTAATCTTAGGAGATGTCGACTTTTTCCTATTTGTGGCGATTTACACTTTCATCACATATCTTTTAAAGTTTGTCGATTTTTCCCGTATTACCCTAATAGCGGCGTAGCCGCGGGTTCTTTACTAGTTTCTATAAATTGTAATCGGGATGAGCATTATGTATCAAATCTCAATCCCGTACCGGAACCAGTATAGAACCGTACATAGTTTAAAAATTTGGGACGGTACTTGGTACTTTAAAATCACAAAATTCGGGATTCGGTACCGTTGGTACCGGTACTCGTACCGAAAACTGATACCATTCTCAGTAGTCAATACCGGTGTAGATAATGTTAATTCGGTTCGGTGCTCATAATTAAATTTCGATGAAATTCGATTTTAGGGAAATTAGGACGATTTCGTCTCAGCTCATCTCTAAATTGTAATATACTATAATTTATTTGTTTTGCCGACACTCTATATGACCTTTTCAAGGTCATGTAGTTTTTCTTTTGTTTATAGTTCATGCTTGAAAAGGAAATCGAAGAATAAAACGATAACAATTGGCAAGCAAAGAATAAAACTTCAATGCAACTCTTTAGTTATTACTATAACAATGTCGTTTTTATACTTTTATTAATCTATTAATAATTTATGAAAGGTTAATAGTTTGGCTAAAATCCGGTTAAACATAGAAATATTGTTCTAAAAAACGCATCAATATTTGCAACAAAAAAAATCAATTTTACCACCATGACCAAGTTTAGAAGGTTGAAAAAACCACTTAAGTCACCAATTTTCACACATTGTTCTAAAATCAATTTTATGCTATTGGTTTGTGTATTGGTATTTTGGGCGAATTCACTAAGCTTTGGACTTACAGTTGTAGGTCATGTTTCAGGTAGCTCAGATGATCGTGGGAGGGCAAATGCTTGATCGTGCACCTCCTCATTTTGTGTTTTGTGATTTTGGGAAAACTCTGATGTTAAACATATTTTGAAAACTACAATGTAAACAATTATGATTTTTAGTTGGTTTGAAAAAGTTTAAATTTTTTGGAAATTTTATGGATGTTACATATCGAAAGATATTTTCAATTGTAGAGGCGTCCGGAATGAGATGTTGATGTCGAAGTGTAGTCCGAAACAGGTTAAATGATATTTATAGTAGAACCAGATTACCAGGTCAAAATAGTACTATCCGTTTAACCGAATTTGAAATAGGGTCCGGAACAATCCATTCCGGACAAAGTGATCATTTTGCAAAAAAAAAAAAATTATAAACAAAACAACCAAAAAAATGGTTAGATCACACACACAGTCACTCACTCACTCACTCACTCACTCACTCACACACACACACACACACACACTCTCTCTCTCTCTCTCTATATATATATATATATATATATATATATATATATATATATATATATATATATATATATATTGGCTTAGGTTATTTTGTTTTTACT